TTTAAGAAAGTCCCTACCCCTCTGGAAGACAATGAAACACATTATATACAGGACGACTGTATAGAAACTTATAAACAATTAAGCTAACTGTTGTGTGGAGGAGGAGAAGGAAGTGTCTGAGACACACCCTCGGGGTCATATCTTATTCAATGACCTCCTGCTTGACCTGACCTGATTGCTGAGACCCCCCTGCAACCAACTGTTTCTCTTGAAACACAGATAACACTCTGTCTCTTGCACAGGACTAAGCCAACCGGCTAGAAACGTGTAAGATAGATTGTGAAGCCATTGATGGCCCTCATTCATTCTTTGCCAGGTATATTAACAAGACGCTGCATAAGCATTGTGTGTAGCAGTTTTTTAAATATTCTCTGTAACTAATCTAGTTAGCAAATGTGCAGACGCTAATTCGGTTATGTGCTGACGACATCAAACTTAATCTATTGTACATCTAACATTATATATATTATATATCACCAAGAACTCTTCTCCTGTGAAGGATTCGAACCTTAGAAAGTCAGGTGCATTACACACCTTGGTGTAACCTTGGCTTTCTAAGGTTCGAATCCTTCACAGGAGAAAGGTTCTCGGTGGTACATATATAACATGTGCGCATCTTCTCAGCCATGTTTCTCCCTGAAACATGGCTGAGAGACACCAAAACACAGGTGAAGGTGAGGGACAAGATGACCCAATTAGGGAGACGATCGCTTACATGTGGAGTCAATTCAGTGAAGAACTGAGAATAATGAGGGAGACAGTGACCAACCTGCAGCATGAGCTGAAGGCAAGAAAGGAAGAGATAAAAAGCCTGATAGAGAAAACCTACTCAGTACCAGACACGAACCATCCCACAGGAAGCTGGTAATGTATTTGTAGAAGGGACTTCTGCAGAACAAGCCTCATTTGCAGATATGATTTGAAAGAGCCTTGAATCTATGTCTACACTAAAGGAAATTACCTGATAAGTATGTACTTTAATCTGGGAAACATGTTTACTTTGATAAACGCTACAGTTGTGAGCTAACTCACTTGTTCAGAAATATCCAAGTTTTGTGAACATTGAACTAAGGCAGAGGACAAAAGCTAGAGCTCTGTAACTATCTTTTTTGTTCTTATTGCGTCTAAAATAACTATGTTTAAATCTTAAGGAAATTGAACAGATCGTTGCCAGAATACAATAGCGAACTAAGGCGAAGGACAGGAGCTGAATCTCGGTGACTGTTTTATATAACTACATCTGAAATAAGGCGGTTTTAAATGTCAGGAAAATCGGGTTAATAGATATGAAATTACAAGAGTGAATTAAGACGGAGGACAAGAGCCGAAATATTTGTTTATCACTCAGAATGTTCGGTAATTTTCTTATTGTTTGTGATATGTGTATCTATATATACATGAACACGTTGTACTGTACGGGATGAGAGTACCTTGAGCTACTTCATCGCTTTGTGTGAGTTTATACCTCAATAAACTTATTTTAATTTCAATTTCAAAGAGCCGAAACTCTGTAACTCTGTTTTCTTTTCTTACTAAGTCTGAAATACACCTGTTTCAAATTTTGCGTGAATTGTACTATTAATAGTGAAAATACAAGAGTGAACCAAGGCGGGGGACAAGAGCTGGCACTCAGTAACTAACTTTACCTCGATGAATACATCCGAAATAGCTATATTTTAAATCTCGTGAAAATCGGGATAATAGTAGCGAGACTACATGAGCGAACGAAGGCGGAGGACAGGAGCCACAGCTCGGTAAGTAATTTGATCTCATTTACTACGTCTGAAATATGACTGTTTTAAATTCCGCAAAAATTGAGCAGATAGTAGCGAAGTTACAAGAGACAACTAAGGCGGGAGACACAAGCTGAAACTCGGTAACTCTATTTTCTTTTTCTTAATGCGTCTGAGATAACTATATTTCAAATCTTAAAATTACGTTGATAGTAGCGAAATTACTGCTATTAACGTTAAGAGGCGGGTCCAAACATGTTTACTGTGATAAACGTGACGATCGAGAGCTTGTTCTGAAATATCTATGTTTTGGTGATCATTGAACTAGGGAAAAGAGGCAGAGCTCGGTAACAACATTGTTCTATTTTACTAAATCGGAAATAATTATGTTAGAATTTTTACTAAAATTTACCAGTTAATAATGAACTTACAAGATAGAACTAAGGCGGAGGGCCGGAGCTGGAGCTCGGTAACTAGCTTTATTCCTTTTACTATGTCCGAAAAATGGGTGTTTTAAATCTTTTGAAAATTACGTCGTTGATAGTAGCGAAATTATACCAATAAACATTAAAAGGTGAGTCCAAGAACTAAAGTTTGACTCTGGTAATTACTTCACACACTTCTAATTAACATATACTCTGAAAATGGACAACCTTTGACTGTAATTTACCCCTAAAACAGGTGGTACAGCAGAGACGATATTTTCTCCATAAGAATTCCTTAACACGGCAGTGAGTATATTTTCTCGATAACAATTCCTTAAGCCCGTGGCGAGGAATTTTCCGCATAAGAAATCCTTAAGACCGCAGGGAAAACTTTTTCTCCATAAGAATTCCTTTGCAGAGAAAATTTTTTTCTCCATAAGAATTCCTTAAGACCGCAGAAAACTTTTTCTCCATAAGAATTCCTTAAGACCGCAGAGAAAACTTTTTCTCCATAAGAATTCCTTAAGACCGCAGAGAAAACTTTTTCTCCATAAGAATTCCTTAAGACCGCAGAGAAAACTTTTTCTCCATAAGAATTCCTGAAGACCACAGTGAGGAATTTACCGAAACCAAAACTCACCCCAAAACGGGGTACGGCTTAGCGGCGACTTTTTCTAAAACAAAAGACGTCGCTAAGCCTTCTATTCGTCTACTAAGAAATGGGCAGAGTTTCTTTCACCCTGATGTACCTGTTCACCTAGCAGAAAATGAGTACCTGGAAGTTAGACAGCTGCTACGAGCTGCTTCCTGGGGATATGTGTGTGTGTGTTAGAAAGATAAATATATGTAGCGGACATAATAGAGGAAAATAGATTGGTTAGAAAGATGGGGTCCAAGAGCTAATTGCTCGATTCTGCAGACAAAAATAGTAAATATAAATAGTAAATTATACACACAGGAAACCACTTTTCACCTTTTCTTTTTCCAAAGGTACATAATACTTTGATTTGAGAATTTGATGAAATTCCTCACTTGGGTGACGCCCAAGAACACAGAGGAGAAATAAGAGGATAGAGAGAAAGATCAAGAGAGAGAGAGAGAAAAAAAAAAAGGTCAAAGCTGTTCATTACACTGTGGATAATGACTGAGCTACACAGTCTGGTATATATCATGGGTCAAAGGTCAATTTTTTGTTTGTTTGTCCAATGAGTTTTCAGTGTGCTTTTGCCTCATTCACTCGATTTACAGGACAGAAAATCTTCAGCGAAGCCACCTCAGATAATATAGACTCAGTTAGTAATATAGCAGATAAATCAGTCACAATATGGGTACAAATAGGAATATATTAACAAGGAAATATGCGGACTATAAAAAAGCATTGCTAAAGTAACACTGGAGACACATGGACCGAATTAAGACAAAGAATTAGTAGGTCTAACTGATTTGTGACCTTGAACCTCAGGTACTGGCTCATGTATTGACCTCAACAATAACCAGAACAGAGTGTACAGTAGCCAGAATAAAGAGTACAATGGCCAGAATAGAGAGTACAATAGCCAGAATAGAGAGTACAATAGCCAGTATTGAGAGTACAATAGCCAGAATAGAGAGTACAATAGGGTACAATAGCCCAGCCAGTATAGAGAGTACAATAGCCAGTATTGAGAGTACAATAGCCAGTATAGAGAGTACAGTAGCCGGAATAGAGAGTACAATAGGCAGTATTGAGAGTACAATAGCCAGTATTGAGAGTACAATAGCCAGTATTGAGAGTACAATAGCCAGTATAGAGAGTACAATAGCCAGAATTGAGAGTACAATAGCCAGAACTGAGAGTACAATAGCCAGAACTGAGAGTACAATAGCCAGAACTGAGAGTACAATAGCCAGAACTGAGAGTACAATAGCCAGAACTGAGAGTACAATAGCCAGAATTGAGAGTACAATAGCCAGAACTGAGAGTACAATAGCCAGAACTGAGAGTACAATAGCCAGAACTGAGAGTACAATAGCCAGAACTGAGAGTACAATAGCCAGTATAGAGAGTACAATAGCCAGAACTGAGAGTACAATAGCCAGAACTGAGAGTACAATAGCCAGAATAGACAGGGCACAATAGCCAGAATAGAGAGAGTACAATAACCCTCTTGCATTAACCATCTGACGATATATTCCGAATCTTTCAGATATCGAAGGAAAATAGCATTTATAATTCACGCTGAAACGTCAATCAATTACTCGAGGGAGGCGGAGGTCCTCGCATCAATAACCTTCCCCATATTAAAGAAAAAACCCAGCCAAATCAATGCTGGCAGCCACAAAACTATCACCATTGAAAATTATAAAGCAACTTGAACGAGGTCAAAGGTCAGATCAGCGAAATTACATGAAATGATTATTAAAAAGAAAACGAAAGCCTGAGATTAAAGGCTGTATCGACCAGGCTTCAATTAGCTCAACGCCACGAAGCTTGGATAAGGTACAACGCGCTTATAACGACTAACGACTTATATGATTAACTAACGCTTATAATGACTTATATGACTAACGTCGTTAGGTCAACTCATGACGTAATACGGTGACGTAATGTTTGTGTCTGTTCAATGTCTAGGCTCGTTTACTGGTGTTAACGAGTACAATAGCCAGAATAGAGTGCAGAGAAATGTACTGCAGAGAAATGCTCAGAACGAGAGTAAACGTATAGTCTTAGAAGGCGACAACAACACAGCATGCATAGAGTAGTACAGGGCAGCACGGGGCATGCTCAGGGCAGCACGGGGCACGCCCAGGGCAGCACGGGCATGATCAGGGCAGCACGGGGCACGATCAGGCAGCACGGGGCATGATCAGGGCAGCACGGGGCATGCTCAGGGCAGCACAGGGCATGCACAGGGCAGCACAGGGCATGCACAGGGCAGCACGGGGCATGCTCAGGGCAGCACAGGGCACGCCCAGGGCAGCACGGGGCATGCTCAGGGCAGCACAGGGCATGCTCAGGGCAGCACAGGGCATGCACAGGGCAGCACATGGCATGCTCAGGGCATGCACAGGGCAGCACAGGGCATGCACAGAGCAGCACAGGGCATGCTCAGGGCAGCACGGGGCAGCACGGGGCATGCACAGGGCAGCACGGGGCATGCACAGGGCAGCACGGGGCATGCACAGGGCAGCACAGGGCATGCACGGGCAGCCCAAGGCATGCACAGGGCAGCACAGGGCATGCTCAGGGCTTGCACAGGGCAGCACAGGGCATGCACAGGGCAGCACAGGGCATGCTCAGGGCAGCACGGGGCATGCACAGGGCAGCACAGGGCATGCTCAGGGCATGCACAGGGCAGCGCAGACATTGTCAATATCAATATCACACTTTCGACGCTTCACCACTTTCTAATTGTGCCTGGAACATAAGAACTTAAGAACAAAGGAAGCTGCAAAAGGTCTATTGATACATACGAGGTAATTATTGGTTCATACGACGAATCTATTAGTTCATACAACGCATCTATTGGTCCATACGAGGCAGCTCCTGTTAATATTCACTCAAACTCATATATATATATATATATATATATATATATATATATATATATATATATATATATATATATATATATATATATATATATATATATATATATATATATGTGTGTGTGTGTGTGTGTGTGTGTGTGTATACGTCAAACCTACGCTTGAAACAATCCATCGATCCCACTTCTACTATGTTACCCGGTAATTTGTTCCATAAATAAACAACCCTGTTACTAAACCAGTATTTACCCAGGTCTTTCCAGACTCTATAAACTTATGCATCAGGAATCTAGACTGTCTCCAAAAATCAAGACCAATTGAACATTTGTTGTTGTTTAAGATTCGCTACCCGGAACAAATAGTTCCAAGTAGCACGGGCTATGGTGAGCCCGTAGTCTCTACAGTCTATTCTGGGCCACACTGCTTTCTCGAAACCCAAGATGGATATATACACTATACGGCTTCTATTACACATCTATTGAGCTCCTTATCTATTATTAAGGGTGTAGTCTAAAAGCATTGTTGTACATTATTGGACGAACGTCAAATTCTAAGTGGCTTTTGCCTCTCCTGAAGCGTACGAGCTTAGTGATAGCGTTAATACTGCATCGCTTTTAGGGCGTCTGAAGCACCTAAATGCTAACGCTGTGGTCGAGAGCGTACAAAATGGTGTGCATTAAGTGCGATAAACCGGTTGCCGGCACATATAGCCCCGTATAAGAATCCAGGGCAACCGGTAAGAACAGGTTGGAAGCTGCATGTGTCAAGCATCTCCAGCCCATAAGATCTATACTGTGAAGAATTGAACACCACCTTCCTGGAGGTCTGTCCAACCAGCATTGAAGGTGTAGGATATGTTAATACAAGATACAAACACCTCCTCCAGTTTCCAGCATAATCAACAGAGTATAGCGTAAAGGGAATCCAATTCCAGTCACATGGGATCCTCGACTTTGGATCGGACAGCAGCAAGGTCGAAGAGGATTGACTGGGCGGAGTCACTCAGCCTCATGTTTATGGCGCCTATATATGAAGCTTCGTACCTCCCAAATCTGGCATAATCGCACATTTTCTAAAGACTCGAGTTTGCGATTTCGATCAAACGTCTGAGTTATCGAGAAAAGTTTATTTGTAAGTGAATATCAGGTAGGTGGAACTTTGTGTTCGGTCAAATGATGATATTATTCACGACTATTTTGTTGAACAGTCAATTTCACGCAAGAGGATTGAAATATGCACCACTTTATATATAACTTTCCAGGAGTTTGTTAAAATATTTCGGGGAAATAATAGTTTTTTTGTTTTAATTTAGAGTCCCAGCCCGTCCTCATCAACACCAGCCCGTCCTCATCAACACCAGCCCGTCCTCATCAACACCAGCCCGTCCTCATCAGCACCAGCCCGTCCTCATCAACACCAGCCCGTCCTCATCAACACCAGCCCGTCCTCAGCCGTCCTCAACACCAGCCCGTCCTCATACACCAACACCAGCCCGTCCTCACCACACCAGCCCGTCCTCATCAACACCAGCCCGTCCTCATCAACACCAGCCCGTCCTCATCAACACCAGCCCGTCCTCATCAACACCAGCCCGTCCTCATCAACACCAGTCCGTCCTCATCAACACCAGCCCGTCCTCATCAACACCAGCCCGTCCTCATCAACACCAGCCCGTCCTCATCAACACCAGCCCGTCCTCATCAACACCAGCCCGTCCTCATCAACACCAGCCCGTCCTCATCAACACCAGCCCGTCCTCATCAACACCAGCCCGTCCTCATCAACACCAGCCCGTCCTCATCAACACCAGCCCGTCCTCATCAACACCAGCCCGTCCTCATCAACACCAGCCCGTCCTCATCAACACCAGCCCGTCCTCATCAACACCAGCCCGTCCTCATCAACACCAGCCCGTCCTCATCAACACCAGCCCGTCCTCATCAACACCAGCCCGTCCTCATCAACACCAGCCCGTCCTCATCAACACCAGCCCGTCCTCATCAACACCAGCCCGTCCTCATCAACACCAGCCCGTCCTCATCAACACCAGCCCGTCCTCATCAACACCAGCCCGTCCTCATCAACACCAGCCCGTCCTCATCAACACCAGCCCGTCCTCATCAACACCAGCCCGTCCTCATCAACACCAGCCCGTCCTCATCAACACCAGCCCGTCCTCATCAACACCAGCCCGTCCTCATCAACACCAGCCCGTCCTCATCAACACCAGCCCGTCCTCATCAACACCAGCCCGTCCTCATCAACACCAGCCCGTCCTCATCAACACCAGCCCGTCCTCATCAACACCAGCCCGTCCTCATCAACACCAGCCCGTCCTCATCAACACCAGCCCGTCCTCATCAACACCAGCCCGTCCTCATCAACACCAGCCCGTCCTCATCAACACCAGCCCGTCCTCATCAACACCAGCCCGTCCTCATCAACACCAGCCCGTCCTCATCAACACCAGCCCGTCCTCATCAACACCAGCCCGTCCTCATCAACACCAGCCCGTCCTCATCAACACCAGCCCGTCCTCATCAACACCAGCCCGTCCTCATCAACACCAGCCCGTCCTCATCAACACCAGCCCGTCCTCATCAACACCAGCCCGTCCTCATCAACACCAGCCCGTCCTCATCAACACCAGCCCGTCCTCATCAACACCAGCCCGTCCTCATCAACACCAGCCCGTCCTCATCAACACCAGCCCGTCCTCATCAACACCAGCCCGTCCTCATCAACACCAGCCCGTCCTCATCAACACCAGCCCGTCCTCATCAACACCAGCCCGTCCTCATCAACACCAGCCCGTCCTCATCAACACCAGCCCGTCCTCATCAACACCAGCCCGTCCTCATCAACACCAGCCCGTCCTCATCAACACCAGCCCGTCCTCATCAACACCAGCCCGTCCTCATCAACACCAGCCCGTCCTCATCAACACCAGCCCGTCCTCATCAACACCAGCCCGTCCTCATCAACACCAGCCCGTCCTCATCAACACCAGCCCGTCCTCATCAACACCAGCCCGTCCTCATCAACACCAGCCCGTCCTCATCAACACCAGCCCGTCCTCATCAACACCAGCCCGTCCTCATCAACACCAGCCCGTCCTCATCAACACCAGCCCGTCCTCATCAACACCAGCCCGTCCTCATCAACACCAGCCCGTCCTCATCAACACCAGCCCGTCCTCATCAACACCAGCCCGTCCTCATCAACACCAGCCCGTCCTCATCAACACCAGCCCGTCCTCATCAACACCAGCCCGTCCTCATCAACACCAGCCCGTCCTCATCAACACCAGCCCGTCCTCATCAACACCAGCCCGTCCTCATCAACACCAGCCCGTCCTCATCAACACCAGCCCGTCCTCATCAACACCAGCCCGTCCTCATCAACACCAGCCCGTCCTCATCAACACCAGCCCGTCCTCATCAACACCAGCCCGTCCTCATCAACACCAGCCCGTCCTCATCAACACCAGCCCGTCCTCATCAACACCAGCCCGTCCTCATCAACACCAGCCCGTCCTCATCAACACCAGCCCGTCCTCATCAACACCAGCCCGTCCTCATCAACACCAGCCCGTCCTCATCAACACCAGCCCGTCCTCATCAACACCAGCCCGTCCTCATCAACACCCAGCCCGTCCTCATCAACACCAGCCCGTCCTCATCAACACCAGCCCGTCCTCATCAACACCAGCCCGTCCTCATCAACACCAGCCCGTCCTCATCAACACCAGCCCGTCCTCATCAACACCAGCCCGTCATCATCAACACCAGCCCGTCCTCATCAACACCAGCCCGTCCTCATTAACACCAGCCCGTCCTCATCAACGCCAGTCCGTTCTCATCAACACCAGCCCGTCCTCATCAACACCAGCCCGTCCTCATCAACACCAGCCCGTCAACAACAGCCCCTCATCAACACCAGCCCGTCCTCATCAACACCAGCCCGTCCTCCTCATCAACACCAGCCCGTCCTCATCAACACCAGCCCGTCCTCATCAACACCAGCCCGTCCTCATCAACACCAGCCCGTCCTCATCAACACCAGCCCGTCCTCATCAACACCAGCCCGTCCTCATCAACACCAGCCCGTCCTCATCAACACCAGCCCGTCCTCATCAACACCAGCCCGTCCTCATCAACACCAGCCCGTCCTCATCAACACCAGCCCGTCCTCATCAACACCAGCCCGTCCTCACAACACCCCGTCCTCATCAACACCAGCCCGTCCTCATCAACACCAGCCCGTCCTCATCAACACCAGCCCGTCCTAATTAACACCAGCCCGTCCTCATCAACACCAGCCCGTCCTCATCAACACCAGCCCGTCCTCATCAACACAGCCCGTCCTCATCAACACCAGCCCGTCCTCATCAACACCAGCCCGTCCTCATCAACACCAGCCCGTCCTCATCAACACCAGCCCGTCCTCATCAACACCAGCCCGTCCTCATCAACACCAGCCCGTCCTCATCAACACCAGCCCGTCCTCATCAACACCAGCCCGTCCTCATCAACACCAGCCCGTCCTCATCAACACCAGCCCGTCCTCATCAACACCAGCCCGTCCTCATCAACACCAGCCCGTCCTCATCAACACCAGCCCGTCCTCATCAACACCAGCCCGTCCTCATCAACACCAGCCCGTCCTCATCAACACCAGCCCGTCCTCATCAACACCAGCCCGTCCTCATCAACACCAGCCCGTCCTCATCAACACCAGCCCGTCCTCATCAACACCAGCCCGTCCTCATCAACACCAGCCCGTCCTCATCAACACCAGCCCGTCCTCATCACCACACCACCAGCCCGTCCTCATCAACACCAGCCCGTCCTCATCAACACC